TTTTATTTATTAATAATTATTTTTGTCAATTAAATTAAATAAAATTAATATTTTTTAATAAACTTAATATTTTAATTGATGATCATAATAATGCCTGTTAAAATGTCACATTAATACTGCTATATTAGATAATAGATGTTTAAATTACCATTTTAAAAATACTAATAATTAGTTATTAACAAATTAAATTCTTTAAATTATAAATAATATTATTATTAATTATGGAATACCAATTAAATTATCACCTATCACTTTCATTTAAGCTATTAATCCAAAACAATCCCAAAAACATCAACAGTGAGACTACAGTTGTTACACCCAAATCTCACGTTATGTTGTACTGTGATTTTAATTTGTGAATGATATATCATGACTATTTTTTTTAAAATTTAAATTGAGAGTGTTTTTAAGTTAGTTTTTGTATATTATAAAAATATTTTTTTAAATAATTTTATGGATATATCTTTTATATTAATATAGTGTATTTAAAAAAATTAATTTTATTAATTATTGATCTCAATATTTGAACTTAAATTGAGATTAAGCTAATAAAATAATACTTACATATCAATAAATCTAACCTTTAAAGATTAAATATTATAACCAATTATTACTAAGGGTGCGTTTGAGATTACGATTGGAAGTTTTTTCGTGTAGTCACATAACATTTTTAGAAATATGTGTGTTTAATAACTTTTTTTAAACTGTTTCTTTTTAAATTACAGAAAAACACAGCAGATCTATAGTAAGTTTATATATAAAACTAAAAACTTCATTTTGAAACTTTTTGGCTGTGGATTTTACGGAGAACACCTAATAGCTAATATAATTACAAAATTACATATTAAAACTTAATTTCATATAATTTAATTACATTATAATTTATAATACTTTAATAATTAAAAAAATTTAAAAACTTAAATTATTAAAAAATAATAAATATTATATATTTTAATAATTATATATCTTATAATATTTTTAAAATTTTAATTAATAATTAATAAAATTTATCATATTTCATCTATAATACCTTTAAAAAATAAATAATCAAACACCAAAATAACTTTCAACCACAATTGCAGTATAATACAACCACAACTAAGCAAAATTACAATTATAACCACAGCACTTTACAACAATTCCAAACGCACCCTAATCTCTAATCTACTCAAATATGTAAATCGAGATAGATTTGCCTAAAAAAAATAATAGGATAAATTATTCTTTTAAATTGTCAATTATAATAAATTATCTATTATTTTATATATGATGTCATCCCTTGTTAATTTTATGTTGGAAATAATGTTCGGTAGCAAACCCGGACAATAAATTTTTGAAAAATGTCATTTTATATTGAAAAAAAAATTTAGAGAAAATCCTTTTATATTATTTTTTGATACAATCTTATATATTATTTAAATAATTAATTTTTAATTTAAAACTTATAATATTAAATATATCTATTTATTTAATGATATATAAAATTGTATAAAATATTATACAAAAAAATTATCTCTATATTATTTCTCTTTTATATTAAAAAAAATGAACTATAACCATTCAGATTTTTTTTTTCTGGGTTTGTGTATCTTTTTGTCTTAAGGGACACGCATTAAAACTCATTAATTAAGGTGTTTTTAATTTTTTTAATAAATTTTCATATTACATTCATATTTTTAACGGTTCTCAAGTATAAATATTATATTATATTTTTATATTTTATATTATATTTTATTTGAATCTTATATAAAATTCATACGAAATTAATTATAAAGATTACAATTAATAAGAAATAGTACAAATTTAAAAATCTCTCTTTTTTTAGATGTACTAATTAATTAACAAATAAAGCAGAATTTGGAAAAAAAAATAAAAAGAAATCTAAGGTGAATATTAGAAAACCCCATTGATTTTTTTTTTTTTTT